TTTGGGATTTAGGGTTTTAGGTTTAGGGTTTAGAGTTGGAGTTCCGGGTTTGGAGCATATTGCACATGGACTACACGGGGGGACTGTTGGTCATCATGCCGGCCTCTATAGTACCCCGTGCATCAGAAAGAAACTGAAAAGGAGCAACTCCGCAGAATCAGAGTACCCGGGACGGTGCTTTGCCCTAAACCCTCAACCCTAAATCGACAACCCTAAACCCTAAACCCTAAACCGAAATCCCAAAACCCTAAGCCCTAACTCTCAAGGTCTAGGAATGCAGGAGTTTGTGCCCAGCCCCAAGTTCCTAAACCCAAAACCCTGATTCCTTGGGTTTAGGGTTTAGGGCTTTGGGCTTAGAGTCCTAAACTCGACACCCCAAACGCCTTCCCAGAATCTTGCCCCCCGATCTCCCCACAGCCTTGCGGGTTTAGGGTTTAGGGTTCAGGGTTTTGGGTTTAGGGTTTAGGACCCTCACTTGAAGCCGTGACCTTCATGGAACCATCCAGCGTCACAGCGCGCCAGGCCTGCACACTTGCGGCGCTTTGGCACTTAGGACTCAAAGCCTAAAACCCTAAACTTTATGGCTGTTGTCTTGTCTGGTTTCGTTCCATTTGAGGAGGCGTCGAGGCGGGTGCTAAAGCACCTCAGACCTCAGGCCATACTAAATTTTGGTTTAGGGCTTATTGCTTGGGGGCTATTATCCAGGCCTCTACGCACTGTCCTACACTCTAAACCGCAAATCCTACAAAAGGGCTCGGGCATAGGATGCAAAGTTCTTGAGGCATGCGTTGTACACCCAAAACCATGTGGACGCCAAACCCTGGCCCCATCGTCTTGAAACCCTAAAACCCTAACCCACTCTGAACCCAATGCTCGAGACCCTAGGCCCTAGACCCCGGAACCCTGAGCACTCTAGACCCTAAACCCCTAAACCCCTGAACCCCTGAATCCAAAAACCCTAAACCCCTGAACCCTGAATCCAAAACCCTGAATCCCCAACCCCCTCCCTGATGACCTCATATCCTACTATACTTATAAGAGCAGGTCTTTGGGGGCCTTGAGGGTTTAAGGAGCCTTGATGATCAGAACGGGCCTTGGGGTATAGTATACCCCAATAGGGCTTAGGGAACCAAATACCAGAGTTTTTGGATCCCAAATACTGAGCTCTCTTATAGAACCCTTACCGTAACGCTTAGAGATCCCTTGAAGGAACCCTTAAAAAAAAGCGGCGGGGGGATTATGGTGCCCCTTAAAGGAACTCCTAGTTCCTGAGATCAAAAACCTCGGTCGAAACCTCTCAGCAACCAATATGGAAGGCCGGGTTTAGGACTTAAGGGTATAGGGTTTAGGGCTTTAGGGTTGAGGACTCAAGGGTTTAGGGTTTTAGGGTTTAGGATTTAGGATTTAGGGTTTAGGGCTTAAAGGGTTTAGGGTTTAGGGTTAAGGGTTCAGGGCTTAAGGCCTTTGGGGTTCAAGCTCGAAGGGTTTGTGCTAGGCTGTTAAAGTTTAAGGGCTTGCAGGGCTAATGGGGTTTAGGGTTTAGGGTTGAGGGGTTTAGGGTTTAGGGTTTAGGGCTAAAGGGTTAGAAGTTCAAAATTCCTAAGAACCTAGAAACGAAGGTAGCCTTCTATACCCACCCCGAAGATAAGGCCCCAAAGCCCAACCCCGAACCCCAGGAGAAATAAAGTTTTCAGGTGAATGACACTATAATCGGAACCCGTAGGACCTCCTAACCCCCATCGTGAACCTAAACTCGAGATGCACCCTTAAACTACACCCTACTGAGGATAGCTCCGGGCACCTGCCTCACCGAAGGAGCCGCGTCCTAGCCGAGGGCCGAAGTTGTATCGCCAGTTGTGCCCAGCCTGCCCAGATCTTCGATGATCCCTTCATTAACGAATCTACTAGGGTTTAGGGTTTAGGTTAACAATAGTCTACCCCTAGGGTATACTTCTGGGATCCCGAAGATGATTTTTTAAGGGTATGTTCCTTAAACCCTAAACCCTAAACCCTAAACCTTAATTAGAAGATCTGAGGCTGACCCGTGAGCCTCGCTGTAGAGGTCGTGACGCTGCAGGTGCGACACGGCATACTCCTCGGCTAGGACAGTCGGGATTTGGGGTACCTCTAAGGGCTCCTAGAAGGGCTCCTGTAAGGGTTCCTTCAAGGGTTCCGTTTCGCGTATATACTGCGGTTTAGGGCTTTAAAGTTTTAGGTTTGGGGCACCTTTGGGCTCCTATAAGCGCCCCTCTAAGGGTTCCTATGAGAGTACCACAGTCTGTCTTCTAAGCGTGCAGGGTTTAGATCTTCCAGAACCCCTTCATTAAGGACAAACCTGAAACCAAAGTGGGATCCTATCCCGGCCTAAGGTGTATTCCTTAGAGAACCCCATACCCCCGTAATTAAGGAATGTGCCTTAAATCATAATATTAGGGCCCCTATAGTTTAAGGTATATTCCTTAATTAAGGGGTATTGGGTTCTCTGGGTCCTTACTTAAGGGATCTTCGCAGATCTCGGGTTGAAAGACCCTAGGGGTTCACTTAGGCTACCTTTTAAGGGCTCCTAGAAGGTTTCCTCTCAAGGTTCCGATAAGGCTACTACGGTGGATGATATAAACCCTACATTACCCATAATAAGGAATATACCATGATTGCCATAGTTTAGGGTCCTTATAAGGTACTGCAGGATTTGTACTATCAACAGTATTGGTTTAGGTTTCAGGGTTCAGCTCTGATGGGTCTCCTGTCTAAGATGGTTCATCTCGTTTTTCAGAAGCTATATGTCTCCGAAACATAATAAGGATAGCTTCTTGGGGACCTAATTCCATAAGGGTGGTCCATGTGGGACCCTCTGGGGATGGAGCCTTGTCGGGTTTCGTGTAGGCGCTGATGCGGTTTTATCGGCGATGGCGTTTCGCGTTTATTGCCCGGGCAAACCGGGGCGCGTAGTCGCGCGAAGAAGCCGCGTTTACAGTCTAGGACCGAAACGAATATTACCCCCTTAATGTAGGGGCATTAACAATTAGAACAGGGTTTTGGGGTATATTATACTATAATGGCACTAAGCAACCCCCAAAATAGTATAGGTCGCCATTAAGGCCCCTATATTACCCTAAACCCTGAACCCTGAACCCTGACCCCTGAAAAAATCAGTGTAGGACTGGCGCAGAGCTCTACTGCCTGCATGCATCAACAACAGTCAAGAAACGCCACGAGTACTGAAGCTGAAAAGCTTACGGGGCTGGGGTGTAGGTTTCGGGCGTTTTGGGAGGCCCTAAACCCTAAAACCTAAGACCTAAACCCTAAAACCCTAAAGCCTAAAACCTAAACCCTAAACCCTAAAACCTAAAACCTGAAACCTAAGACCCTAAACCCTGAACCCAAAAACCCTGAAACCTCAAAACCTAAACCCCAAAGCCTAAAACCCTAAGTTTACTTGGCTTTGTAATGATCCGGAACCCCTTGGGAGGCCGAATGCCATGGCTTAGTCCCAAGGACTGAAATCGACCACTCTACACTGGATTTGTACGTCCCCACTGGTCCAGTGTTAGGGTTAATGGTTTAGGGTTTAAGGTTTGGGGGGTTTAAGGTTCCGGCACGCACGTTGGTTTAGCGTTGAGGTGTCCCGTGAACCCAAAACCTCGACCAGTTATTGCATACAACAGGGTTTTGGGGTATAGTATACTATAATTATAATAAGGAGCCCTCAAAATAGTATAGGTCATTATTAAGGCCCCTACATTATGTCTGTCCCAGCTTCATGCACTGCAGGTAGGAACCCCACGTCCCTCGGCGAAAGAGCGGGGTCTGGTGAAGGATGGGTTTCATGTGAGCTCAAGGTTGCTGGTCTTGGAGGCTTCAGTTGAAGTGGCATGGCTAGAGGTGGGAGCTTAGGTGTAGGGCCTCTTGTGTCGAGTTGGATGACGAAATGTCGTGGTGAGGGCCTGCTTCTTCATGTGTTTAGGGTTTAGGAGTTTAGAGTTTAGGGTTTAGGGTTTATGGTTTAGGGTTCTAGTGCTACTTTGCAGTAGTGCTGCTGCAGCTGGTGCTCGGACCCCAAATGTTCCAACAAACCCAGATCTTCCCAAAATCCCTGCATCAAGGAATATACTTTAGATCATATTTCGGGAGCCCTACCACAAAATAAAGTACGTATTTGTAGCAGAACCATTTAAGATCTACTCCCTCATTAAGGGTCATTGGAAGATCTGGGAAATGGCCTGAGACTCGTGCAGCCACCTCAACGGCGGCAGTGGCAAATCTGCAGCGATGGCTGCTGCGAGGCCCTGCTTCAAACATGGCTGCCGATGCTGTGGTCGGGGCCTCAATAATTAGACTCGGGTTTGGGGGTGTCCTGTGTTAAAAGGTCTCAATAAGAGGATACACGTGTGAACCTGCGCTCATAGACCATGTTTTCCTCCGTAGTTGCAAGACAGCACACGGGCATCAGGCGTTTCCTCGCTTTCCTATCTGCTTGTAGTCCCCTTCTTTTTTGGCACCCCAGCTTTCGCAGCTCTGCTGGGGTTCACCCGACTCTATTAGCCTGAATAGCCACCTACTTTGTTACCTAGGGTTCCTTATGACAACAATACTATAATAAGCCCCAGGACCCTATTCCAACAATCAAGGCCCAAATGGTATTCCTGGCAGTTCCTTGTTCCAATAACATCACATTATGCAGTTTTTTCGTATGCCCTAACTGCTGGCTATCCAGCACACTCCAACGAATATGCTTTGCGGTGCCAGTAGGTGACCTCCACATGACATCCTTGATGCTCGTTCAGCGTCTCTGGGACGTGCTCTTGGATCTCGGGGTTGTCCTCGCACTTGCCAATCATTGCTGCCAAGTCCAACGACGGCATCGTCAGGAGGTCTTGCCATCGCTCGCCCGTCAGCGACACTTCCATGGCCGCAGTGGCATCCTGCAGCACTGCAGGGAGTCGCAGTTTGTCCCGTCGGTGAAACGCGGCTGTGTGAAGAAAGCATGTGTGAAAGGCACGAGGCCTGCCTCGACCGCGCAGGTACCGTCTTGCGACGTCAGGGATAACGCTGCAACACTGTGAAGTCTATGCAGGTTCGTCTTGAGGACTTTTCGAGCAGTTGGAGATAGAAGGCCCCTAAATCATGTGCGGGTCCATCTTGAAATGGGCGTTTGAGACCTTCTCTCGCCTGCTGCACGCCTAGGTTTCGGGCTTAGGGTTTACAGTACCCGACTTGCCTCGAATCAGCCCCGTCTCCTGCCACGCAGACTTTCTGTCGCTGGCCGGGTTGAAAGTTCGAAAGCCGCAAAGCGATGCAAAAGGCTCAACCGCACAACGCCCAAGCCTACACTCGCGTAGCAACATGGAACCTGAAACCCCTCCTTTGCACACATTTAGACTACTACATCTCCCTAAACCCTAACCACCCTTCGGCCCGAAACCCTAAAACCCTAACCACCCTAAGCTGCACTCCCAACCCTCAACGGCCGGCAATATGCTTGAATATCACTATGCAGACACACAGGAAGGAAAGTCAAGGAGTAGCACTGGTGAGTTTTCGGGTCATACAACCCATCTTATTCTTGCAACCTTATGGAACCCTTACAATCGAATCCGCGAAGGCTACCTCAAGGAACCCTTGTCAATCCCTCAGCCGTAAAACCGAAAGCCTAAACCCCTCAAGGAACCCTTTAGAAGGAACCCGAAATCCTGAACCCTTAGAGCCTTCTCGATCCCTCACTGCAACCGTAAACCCTAAACCTAAACCCTCAAGCCCAAGGATAAATAGAAGTTGTTCGTTCTAACGTGCATGGCCATATACATTCCCGTATGCTTTGTTTTTCATATTTTGGCAGACACAAAAAAAAGCACAGAAACGAGAGTGCCAGAAACCAACATGTTTCTGCGGCGTGTAGACATGCAAAAATGAAGACTCCAAATTAAAATATGTTTTGGCAAACGGCTTGAATGTTTCCGGATACGTGTTTCCGGACCCGCATTGTGTTTCCGGGCTTCCGCCCGCACTAAACTCGCGCAAAAACCCGTCCAAAACCGCACAATCAACCAACAAAAGCAAAAAGCAGCAAAACCCGCCGAAAACTGCACAAAACCGCGCCCAACCCGCACAAGACGCAGGACCTAAAAACCTAAGCAACTTCTACAGACCCTGAACCCTAAACCTGGTTCCCTGTTCAGGCCATATTGAAAATGATCATTTTACATCCTTGTTAGGGTTATATTGTAACAAAAATGCAAAAAAATGTATCCAACAAGGACCCAGAAACCCTAAACTCTAAGCCCTAATATAGAACCCTACTATAGATACCTTATAGAGCCCTTTAAGGAACCCTTTTAAAGGAACCACCTAAAACCTAAGCCAACTGGGGCCTCGATGGGCACCAGCTGCCCTCTGGCCTGGCCATCATCGAGGAGGAGCCTCGCAGATTCTGTCAGGGCAGAGGGGCCTCAGGGCTCTTAGGGGTTTTGGGGCTTAGAGCTTAGGGCTCTTAGGGGTTTTGGGGTTTTGGGGCTTAGGGTTTAGGGTTTAGGGCTTAGAGGTTTGGGGCTTAAGGGTTCGGGTTTTGGGTTGGGGTTGAGGGGTTTATAGCCGAACTGGCGGGATTTGTTAGCTTTTCGAGGTTGGGTGTTAATAGCCTAGGAGTGCTATTGCTTTCGGGATTGATGAGCCTATGACGCTTGATGCTTTGTGGTATTTTGAAGTTTTAGGAGTGCGGGCCAGCGGGATTCAAAGGAACTTTGTCAGGGGCTTGATGGGATTTTAATCTACTGTGGGGGCCTTGATAATTAGAATAGGGTTTTAGGGCCTCCTTATTGTAATTATAGAATAATAGAACGCGAAACCCCTATTCTAATTATTCAGGCCCCTATATTGTGTGGGGGTTTGGAGCCTCACAACTGTACTGCTTTGCTTTTGGGCGTATTTCACTGTCTTCCGGGCTTGTGGGGTCTCGAGGGCAATGTCTGCGTGTGCTCCGATGCAGGGAACATGGCTGAGGCTGCAGCTGTAATCAAGCGGTCCCTTTACACCCGAATGGGTTTGGGGTTTAGAGCTTGAAGGTTTGGGGCTATAGCCTTAGGGTCAAGCGTGTTAAGACTTTCGCGCTTATGGCTTTACGGTCTCAGGGTTTCAAGCTTGAGGCTGTAGCACTGCGGGGTTTTAGGGCCCTAAAGCCCTTAACCCTAAACCCTAAAATCCAAGCCTCAAGCCCTAAACCTTCAAACCCGAATCGGAACTCCCAAACTCAAGACCCTAAGCCTTCAACCCATGCCTTGCAACCTTCTCCTGGCATCTTGCTGCCAATGTTCTAAACCCTGCGGGTCCTCTGTCGCTTCAACGACTTCTCCGACTAGAACTTTTCTTCCGATTCGAGTCCTCGCTCTCTCTCTCTCTCTCTCTTCCCCTCTCTCTCGCTCTCTCGCTCTCTCTCTCTGGGCCCCAAGCCCTAAGCCCTAAACTCCTCTCTCTCTCTCTCTCTCTCTCTCTCTCTCTCGCTCGGCAATTTCTCGCTTAATCTGGCGACTTGGCGGAGTCAGCGCGACCGCTTCCCCTGTCGGGAAGGAGTGGAGCTACTCTACAATTAAAATATAGGGTCTCCGGCTATGGTATACTTGATAATAATAATAATAATAGTAATAATAATAATGACGATAATGATAATAATAACAATAATAATATTAATCTAACAATCATATGCAACACCCGAAAAAGAGTGTAGGTCATTCTTAAGGCCCCTATGATTGGAGGCCCAGGGGACTTAGTAAGTAGCTTGTAAGTAGCCTTATAAGTACCCTAGGTGGAGTTACCCCAATTATAACCATACTTATATCCGACTTACTAAGTGCCCTGGGCCTTTAAGTATTGCACTGGAGGCAAACACCTTGGCGGTGGGCCAAGCTTCCAGCCACCCGAGTCTGAAGTCTTCCGCCCGGGTTTCCTTGAAAAAACGGCGCCAAAAAAGCCCCCCCATTGCTTGTGACGGGGGTAGACCTGGGTTTAGGGCTTAGGGTTTAGGGAGTTTAGGGTTTAGGAAGTTTAGGGTTTAGGGTTTAGGGAGTTTTGGGTTTAGGGAGTTTAGGGGTCGAACGAATCTGGAACGAAATGCTAATTAGGCCTGTATCGACGGAAGGGCTTTGCTCCCCTTCGCCAAAAACAGACGAGCTACAAGAGTAGTTGTCTAAATTAGGATCCCTTTGGGGGGCCTTTTTTAAGGGGTGCCGCACCAAAATTGGAGAACTAAAAAATGATTATTATTATTATTCTTATTTTATTATTATTATTGTTATTAAAAAAGGGACCCTAGTTTAGAGAACTACCCATAAGCGCCCGGTCCTCTTCCTGGCATTTCGCACGTTGCAGTCGCGTGCCAGGGGCCGGAGCACCGAACAAATCCCTCCGCCGTGTAACTACGATTTTTCTGTAATCCGTCGGAATATTCTTCCAAGCTGTTAAAAAACGATTTTCTGTAATCCCCTTGACTTGATTGTTCTTCCCAGCTGTTAAAAAATTGCCTGCGGCTCAGTTTATCGTTGCACTGCCACAGCTCACGCAGCCACCTCGCCCACTGCACTCCGCGCCGCGGTCTCCAAGCGCTTTGTTTCCAGCCCACCAACCTTCCATGGAAGCTTCGCCCAAACATCTTGGAAAGTTTTCCCCACACCTCTCAGGCGCTCTTCGCTGAGCTCCCGCAACTCTCCAGCAAGAGCCTGAACGGCATGTTCGTGCGACCTTTTGGGCACCATAAGGAAGACTTCTGTTGCAAATCCCACCACAGCATCCCTGGCACTCTTGTACCGCCTCTCATACTCTGGGCAAGTCGTCGGCGGGCCCTCCACCGAAATGCCCAGACCTTGCGTCTTCAACAACGCGGCTTCTGTGAAGTCGATCCAGAGCATGTCGTTGCTGGATGGTGACTGAAGCACCTGGACATCAACCCCGGCCACGCCGGCTTCCAAGATGCGCACGGCAGTTGCCATGAACCTTTCCATGCGATCTTTCTCCTGGGACTCCAGCAGTTTTGGGATGCCGCAGCCGCTCTTTACGGAGATGTTACGCCCTGGAAGGCAAGGCATCAACACCATACCTTGACGAGGGCCAGCAGTCGTACTCACCTCGCCAAACCCAATGCAGCGCTCAATGTTGGGAACCTTGGCATCATTCAAGATCTCCAGGACTCTCCGCTCGTGCTCAAGGCTGTGCATGGCGTAGTCGGTGTTGGCTCGACTGAGTTTTACAACAGCCTGTCCGTTTGAGGCCGTGTCGGCCGAGAACACTTCTGCCTGCACACCTCCCCCCAAGTACGTCGGATTTCGGAGAGGGGTGGTGCCGCAGGAAAAGCTGCTCAGCAACAGGTTCGGGTGTCCTGGCACCGGTGCTCGCACGCGAGAGCGCAAAGATCCCACTGTGAGGATGGCCGCTACCGAAGAGATGCCCAGGAATTGCAGGAACTCGCCCCTACCAAGGCGGCTCGAGGTCTCGGATGTCTTGGGCGATGACTGGTAGACCATCCTAGAAGCCTTCAGCGAAGCTGGGCCATTCGGCCTTCCGGGAACAAGGTTGCCAAGGCCCACTCGCGGTGTGCCGGTACTGTCGAGCGGAGCCATGAAGCTGAAGGGCCTTTAAAAAAGCGGGAACCCGCATTGAAGCATCTTCATAGGAACTGAACTTGAGCCGAAGAGGTTCAAAATCTATATATATATATATACATACATACATACATACATACATACATACATACATATATATATATGTATATATATATATACATACATATACATACGTATATATACATATTTACAGACATACATACATCTGCTTATGCGATACATGTACATACCTCTATCTCGAACTCTATCTCTATCTCTAGTCTATGTCTGTCTCTATCTCTATCTCTATCTCTCTATCTCTATATCTTTATCTCTATCTCTATCCATCCATCCACCCGTCCATCCATCCCTCCATCTATCTATATCTATCTATCTATCTATCTGTCTATCTATCTATCTATCTATCTATGCGTATTTATCTGTGTGTATATATATATGTATAATGTATATATATATATATTTATTTATTTATTTATATGTATACATATACACATATATATATACATATATACACATACACATACACATACATATACATTCACACGTACCAAAACACATACCTTTACACATACAAATACATATACATGTTCATATACACGTACATACCTACCTACCTACCTACCTACCTACCTACATACATACATACATACATATGTATATATATATATACATATGCATATACAGATGCATTTACACATATACATATACACATATACATATACATATACATTATACATATACATATACATATACATACTCAGAGACACAAAGCATATACATGTGCATATACATATACAAAAACATATACATATACATA